CAATTAAAATATAAAACAGGAAATAAAGTTGTCTAATTGATTTTTTAAAGTGTATTTATTTAATAGTTCATTTATATAATTCTGCTTTTATTTCTAATTATGTCAGTTTTGGTCCTCCATTCTGCAGATGCCTGATAATCATATATTCATTCAAATCAGGTGTGTTGGAGCAGGAAACAAGTAAAACATGCAGGGCTGCGGCCCTCCAGGACCAGGATTGCCCACCCCTGATCTATATGATGTCACAAAGACAATACAGTTAGTCTACGCTTTCCAGATTTGATCTCTTTCAGTGTCCCGTCAGTTCGTACGGAACTTGGAAAACAAGGCCTTCTCCTAATCTGCTCTATCTTCCTGGAATTCACTGCAGCAAGAACTGAAGCTGTCCACTTAGATCCCATCGGGACATTTTAAACACATCTTAAAGAAAATGGAAAAATCATTATTTTAAAATGCTGGATATGGGCACCAGTGACCCCCGTGACCCTGAAAGGAAGAAGCGAGTATAGACGATGGATAGATTATTTTAAATATGCTCTTGTTCAGGTTGTGTTGAAGAGCTCTGCTTTCCTTTAAATGTTAACATGACATTTTAGGATCTTTGTGTGTTTTTCAACCCTGGTCCTCAAGACACACTGCCCTGCATGTTTAGAGCTTTCCTTGCTTTGACACACCTGATTCTGATTATTGCAGTTCAACAAAAGCCTGTTCATCAGTTATCAATTTAAATCAGCTGTGTTGAAGCAGTGAAACGTGTAAAACCTGCAGGGCAGTGTGCCCTGAGGACCAGGGTTGAAAAACACTGGTGTAACTGATGTTGTATGTGTGTCACAGGTCTCTCTTGTAAATGAAACTACATGTCTCAATGAGATTACCTGCTGCCTAAATAAAAGTAAATCAAAAAAATTTTTTGAACAGACTTTTTCTATAATGATGTATTCCAACCACCAGATGGCACTTTAGAGCTATGCTTACTGTTGTCCTCTTTGTGTTGAATTGTGGACTTTGAAAGACAATAATATAGATTAGAAAACTCTGAACAGAATAAGGAGACACAATCACCATATTGGAGATGAATAATTTATGTAATTAGGTGCGTAAAGAATGTAAATTTATTAAATTAATCAATGGATATACCACTGAAAATGACATAAATGGACATAGTTTTTTGAAATGTTGTAAAACTACGTTTCAGAGATTTTAAGCTGTGTTCTGCAGTAATCTTGACCTGATTTGTTTTATCTGCAGCAGTGTGGACACATACCCAGAGGTCAGTGGACTGACTTTGCGTCTGGTCCACATGTGTCTTGGTCTCATGATGAAACACAAACACAACAGGGTGACCTAATTCTGCAAGAGATCAAGATTCAGGCTTCTTTCTGTTGAAGGAAACATAGAAACGATGCTGAAGTGACCTTGAGTATCACAGTAAATGTTAACCAGCCCTAATGTGATTTAAATTCAATCTCAACAGAACTGTTAGAGTTTAACAGGGTTGTTCTGTTGCATCTACTTTGTTCTATTGTAGCTGGTTTGTTGTTAATTTCTGATGGTAAAATAAAATTAAAAAGATGTTTAAAAACAATAAGACAATCCCATATGTAAATCTGAGAATGACATGGACATACTAATAAATAAAATAAAATTCAAAGTCCCTAATAAGTTATGCTATATGTCATATACTGTATGTCATATGTCATGTATAACTTGCATGGTTGATTTAAAATATTTATTTAACTTGTCCTTGTCTTTAGTTACAACATTAGGAATTTACAGATCCAGAAGTCCTTATGGAAATCTAAAACCAATTCCAAAGAGTCAGAACAGATATTCTAGGGTGCTGAGCAAAGGGTAGCATTGTGAATAAAAATATATTTAAGTCAGTTTGAAGAGGTTCTGTAGAAAGATTATAAACTGATTATAAACTGTTGATGCATGCTTTAAACTGCTCTTTGAATGGATTAGTTTAGGAGAAACAGAGTTTAAGTCTAATCAGACTGAAAGATAACTGTTACTGTATTTGCTGACTACGCCAATCTCTAAAATGTCCACGTAAACAGTATTTCACAAATATCTACAGTAGCACTTCTGATGCAGCCTGGTGCACTTCCTGAAGGAATATCATATTTCTGCTGAAATAACAGTGCAATGCAAAACTGACGGCAGTGTAAAGGTTTCAATAACAGAGCTTTCATCAACTGCAGTGAAATTGTGAAAAATGGAAGAGTTTACAGCCAGCTGTTTTGACAAGCTAATAATGGGTTGTTTGAGCAACAGACAGCATCTGTGATTTACACCACCATCAATTTTGCATTACACTGTTATTTTTGACAAAAAATATTGAGCATATTCCTGCAGAAAGAGATTCAGGCTGCATGAGTTGTGTT